CGGATGATGCAAGAATCCATCTTTTTAGGCCTTATGTGGCAAAGATACATATTAGTGGAATTGAATTTTTTCCCCACATTTTGGTAAGAATGAGTAAATTGGCTCTTCATTGTCTGTCTCGACTGAAGATGGAATTAAAAAAAAATTCCTATTATATTGTCCCTTTTGCCGTATTTATCCTTGGTCTTCTTATTATCTTTTTATGCTTTGTTGTATTTTTTAAATATGGCAATTCTTTTTAATTATTGTTATTATACTCATATCATTATCTTGTTAATGTATTTTGTTCTTAAAAAAAAGATCTTTATTTAGTCAATGATTAAAATGTTGACAGCATATCATTTTTGGTTAGAACTAGCTTTTTTCCGGTTGAAAGCAGTGGATGAAGGATGAAAATTTGAATCCTAAATGGATAAAATGAAGTTGTGTATAATCATTTTTTTTGCTTTTATGATATATTCTAAAAAATAGTAGGCGAAGTTGATTCACTGTAGTCCATTAGTAGTTAATTGATGTTTAATTTTATTTCCTTCAAATTGGTGTAGGGCCATAAAATATTCTTGAGAAAATTTATGCAGATTTTCATTCAAGTAACAATTCTCAAAACTTGTTGATCCTACTCAGCCCTTCTATTACTTGAAAATCCACTTTATACCCTATTTTTTAAATTAACGAGCTCTCTATATGTGAAAAGATTAATGCCAAGGGCAGCTTGCAAATGCATGATACCCAATAATTTGACGCCATTTGGTCCATGAAGGCAGTGGACGCCAACCAGCCTTTCTTATCAGGGGTTTCAAACTATTGGGTACTATACGTAATATATGCGGGGTGAGCACAGGGCAGCTCTGATATGAAAAAGAAAAAAAAGAAACATCAATTGTAATATATGTGAATAGAGAAAGCATCAAAATATGCTCTTATAAAATATGATAATGCTGTTTAGATTTAAATATGCTAGAAACCATGGGGGAAAAATTGTATGTGATATCAGTTTAGTGCACTTCATTTTTCTTTAGGAAAGGGTAAAAATTGGGGGAAAATTAGCATTTTGTCACTGCTTTCTCTTATAATGTTATTTCAAAGGCAATTTTTAACTCTATGTGAGGTTAATTTTAGCGAACCTTGCATGTTATTATTACTGATTTGGATAAACATGTTTGTTTCCTCCGAGGAAAGTCTTCTACGAATTACAATTTAGTTTAATTAAATTCCTCTATTTACTATTTTACCTGGTTGCTTCTTTGAAATTTTTAGCTTGGCAAGTTCACATATCCTTTTCTTTTTCAAGTCTTTGTTAGTGTTTAATTGTTGACAGCTGATTTAGTATATTTGTTTCTAATAGGTTGGCAAAGTATTACGTGTTCACAAAGTATCACGAGGCCAAACCCAGTCATACATTGAATCTAAGAGATTATTTTCTTTGTCTGAACAACTCATATGGGGCGACATTCCACAACTCAGTGAATCTACTTCTAAAGAGACTGCTGAGAAAATTTATGCAGTACAAGTGATGGGCCCTCTCTTAGACTCCAAGCTCATTGATGGAGGGGTATTCTTCATAAAATATTTGGGCATTTACATACATAACGATCCAATTCCTATGTATTTACATATCTAACACGTAAACTTTGCTTTTTATCTTTATGCAGCCAAATCTTTCATATCACTTCAAACCACCATTTTAACTCTCAAAAGTGAAATACACCTTTTCATGCATAGGAAACATGATATGCATGTAAAAATTAAAGATTAGGTGTTAGATATGTAAATACATATGGATTGAGTGGTATGTATGTAAATCTTCCTATATTGTTTTTGGAGTTTTGTAAAGTAGTACATTATAATCATGATGAAGTGGCATCCTATCCTCATAATGCATATTTAGCAATACTAACATATGTAAATTGAAGTCATAATTAACACATTTGTACAGGTTGGTCTTTTGATAAAAAAACCTTCAAACACTTCTTTGTTATCATTTGATGGAGATAAATATGATAAAATGAATTTTATTTGGACGGTACAACTGTGATTTTGCAGACAAGATTAAAATGAGATAAATATAACAAGATGTGTCCTAAGTTAAAATAAGTTCTATGGTGAAATTACTACTTTTCAAATGGGAGCTAATATTTTGAATGAGAGTTTTACATTGCGTTTAATTGATGCCATTTAGCTGTGATATGACTAATGATGATGATGATAATATAATATCAATTGGTCATGTTATCCTTATTGTTGTAATTGTGAGTAATAGAATGTTTCATGTATGTCAGGTACCCATATTTGTAACAAGGGAGTTCCTAGAGTCAGTTGAAAAGAGCATTCATACTCAGCGTCCTCATTGGCGACTTCATACAACGGAAGTTGACCTCCTCTCTCATTCGGCACTGCTTATGTCTGACCATTCAGTTTTTTCTAATGGTAAATGCTGCTTTTTTATGATATATAATTGAGACATTTACATACCTAGCACACAATTCTTATGTATTTATATATCTCACACCTAAATTTTCATATTTACATATATAGCACTTTGGTGCTTTAAACCTATGCATGAAAATATGTATCTCACTTATAAAAAATGATAGTAGTGCTATTTTTTATGTGATATTAAAGATTTGAGGGCTATGTGTGCAAGTATGAAAATGTGTGTGAATATGAAAGTTTAAGTGTGAGATATGTAACTGCATTAGAATTTTGTGCTATGAATGTAAATGTCCGTATATAGTATATATGTTCAATTTACATGTCTGCACTTTCATATTTCACCTGCACAAATGTTTGGAGTTCAACTATGTGTGATTCTTGGATACGTTCATACTTGATAATGTTAGATTTAGAATGGCAAATCATCTACTTCTTTTCATAGGTGGCCCATCTATCAATTATGGCCATTAATGAGAAGTATTTTTCATTTGTGTATTTAAGAGAAAGGATGTCACTTAGGGCTTGTTTGGGATCAATATACATTTAAGAGAAAGGATGGCACTCAATAGGACGCAATGGAGAAAAAGGATTCATGTAGCCGACCCCACTTAGTGTGATAAAGGCTTGTTGTTGTTGTTGTTGTTGTTTTGCTTTTATTTTATAAACATGTTTGTTTAGTGCATTTTTTGCATGTTTTTATTTTTTATTTCTAAAAGTAAGTCAAAATTGTTTCTAAAAACACTTAAAATATCTAAAAGTTATTTTGAGCGTTTTTAAAAACAACTAAGCATGTTATATCATACCAAATATATTTTATTTTAAATCAAGACATGAGAAAAATAAAATAAAATAAAAGTGATCTCAAATCCCCTTGGTATTCAACAAATTATGTTTTTGACTTTTTCTTCAAGATAGTACACCTCAGTGTATTATACCTGGCTTGGTTTGATTTATGGACGAGGTTTTTGACGGGAAGTTGGAGGCTCCCTTCAAATTGAGAATTTTGAGCTGAAAATAAATCGAGACAAGCTAAGTTCAGGTCTATTTGAGCTCAAGCTTGATTGCTAAAACTTTGTTTGAGTTTGGCCTGAGCTCGGTGCAAGTTGTGATTGTGTTTAAACTTTTGATTTGTTTTAAATTCATGCTGATTCAAATTTGGTTGAAGCTCGGCTCGCTCGAGTTTTATTCAGTTTGTGATAATTTAACTTCAAAAAAGTAGCTTATTTGAAAATATAAATGAGCCCCCTTATAGAGCTTCAAAAATAAAATTTTAATTAACAAAAATGAAACTGTTCGAGCTTGTTAATTTTAACAATCAAGTATATGTAAAATTGTTTATGCTTATTTGATTATTTGATCCAAGGATTGTGAACGAGCTCTTATCAAGCTAAGTCTTGAGTAACTTGTTGAATGTTTCCTTTTATTTGCAGCCCTTTATATATTGGTGGATTAATTATTTTGACATACTTTTCTTTGGGGTTCTTTTATTGAAACGTTGGCTTCCCTCATCCCTTATTATTTTTTGTTGGGAAGCCATACCCATGAGTGTGCTAAGAACATGTTTGCCTAATGTCAAGCGGAAATGTTTGATATGTCATATGGCTTTCTACATTTCATTGTACATTTAAAATTTTCCACTTCTATTCTTACACACTTAAAGCCTTACCACAAATAGTACTCACTGGCTTACATACAACTAGGCAAAAAGATGCGCACTGCATAAATTTAAATTTTGCATATATTTTATTCAGTTTCTTATCAGGTTCTCTTAAAGATGATGTATGCATAGCAGTGGAAATAAAGGTAACATCCAACAGAAACAGGCTATTCCTTTTTTTTGGGTTAAAACTTCATCTTCTTTGAACTAAAGTATCTTTTATTTTGTTTTTGCATGTCTTTTGGTCACTAAACTGAATATTCAGCCGAAGTGTGGGTTTCTTCCATCTTCAAAATTCATAGCCAAACAAAATGCTGTAAAGAAGTTTGTAACACGATTTAGAATGCATCAACTCCTGAAATTTCATCTTGGAGAGGTACATGTTTTCTCTGTCTTCTATTTCCTACTTGAAAAACTTTCTTATATGTCTCTTATGGATGTCTCGTTTACCCTGAATGGTCCTTCAATCTTCCTTAAAATTGCGGGTGATAATGACATGATCACTAACTAGGCTTTGCTAAATTTCAATCTGGGACGTTTGGAATGGTTTATATGGACTGTTTGGTTGTTTCAAGCATGGGATTTATATAGGCCCTGATGGATTTGAGGCTGAGTATAAATAATAGAAACGGAGCTCAGACACCAAAACTCACTTAGAAGCTAGGGAGAGCTCTACATGAGCCAATCCTTCATCTTCCAGTATTTTCCTACAGTTTTACATTGGTGTATCAGCAAGAAATGGATGCTCTGGGAGGCAGAACTTGAACCCGAACAGCAGCTGTTACACACATCAATGGTGAAGATGAATTATGCTGTTAGAGATCAACGGAAAGGATGCAAAAAAAGAGGTTAGTGGCTGCTCCTGATCCAGGCATAATAAAAATTCTACTTATTCATCATTCACCACATATTAGCTATTACTTATCATTTATATCTGCCCCGAAAATTAATGGTCATTCATGGATTGTTAACTTGTCCCGCAAATGCTTGTAATGAGAGGTAGAAAGTGCCTTGGTGAAAATATCAACAGGCTGATCTTGAGTTGCTATATGTTGTGTCATAATAATCTTGGTCTTGGGACAATCACAAATGAAATGAAAATTGATTTCAATGTGTTCGATCCAAACGTGAAAGATTGGATTGTTTACAGGTGGAACGGGTAGGCCATTGTTGCAGTATAATTTTGTTGACAGTGTAGTTGGCGTGGTAAATTCTTGAAGAAGCTGATGTAACCAAATGATTTCAGTTGGGGCAGTAGCAAGTGTATGATATTGAATTCCAATTGATTAGCAACCAACTGTAGACTGTTTCTTAACATGCAGGAGACGAGGTTTTTTTTAAGAAGAACAACAATAACCAATATTAGATTTTCAATCAGTTAAATCGGCCGCCCAATCAGAATTTGAATAAGAAGGTGACGAGAAGAATGATATATGCGTAAGCCATATAGTATTTGAATAAGTATGAAAGTGACGAGAAGAATGATATATGCGTAAGCCATATAGCAACATTTTTTTAAGGTAGAGAAGCAGGCTTTTAAGTTATTGAAAATGGCTATTATGTGGATGATGTATATGTTGACAAAGCATGTTAACCACATAGCTGATATCTGGCCTTGTGCTTGTTAGATATTGGAAAGAACCAAGTAAATAACGATAGGGAGTATGATTAGCAAAAGGAATAGATGAATAAGTTGTAATAGAAGTTTTAGTAGGAATCAATGTTAGAACCGGTTTATAACGTGATATTACAGACTGAGTGATCAATTTTATAACATACTTGGACTATAGTTCATATATTATTTGTTGAACTTATATTCCCAAAAAATGGAGATAGTTCCAAGATTGCATATGTGAAAATAAGGATGAAGTGCAGGTCATAGATTTTGATTGGCTATGCCATTATTACTTGTAAGGAGTATGTCGTTCATATAAAGAGGAAAATACAAAGATATATTATCTTGACTAAAGATGATATAGATGGATTGGAGACACTAGCTTGAAAGCCTAATTGTTGTAGATGTTTGTAAGGATGGCAAACGATTATCGAGGAGCTTGTTTAAAGCCATACATAGCATTTTAATGAAGAGAAACATGAGTTGGACGTTTGTTGACCTCATTTTTAGTGAGGTCTTAGTCTCCTACTCTCAAAACCCATAATCTAGCCTTAGGAGTTCCTTGTTGACCATCCTAGCGGACTAGTAATGGAGCCCACCTCCCGTAGAACTTCAAACCACTTCTTTACTTATTTTTGTGAAGAACTCGCATGAGTGGTTCCAAGCACTCAACTTCTAGTTGCAAGGGCTAAGGACCAGCATGTAGAGGGCCTGAAAATAAGTTCCCATAGGATCAGATGGCCATAGGTGAACCTCGGTGACTCAGCAATGCACTCGTTGCACCACACACAATTTTGGCTTAAATCGACTCGCCCGTCAGCGAACTCGTCTGGAAGACCCCGGATGACGAAACGGACTGCGTCGTCATGTCCGGAACATCAATTTTGCCTAAGGGAGATGTTCATTTCATAACGATGGTGTGTCTGGGAGAAAATGCGCAAAATGGAGATAATAATAATAATAATTGGGATGCGGGTCCGGGCCAATCCAGGTTCGACTCGGGCTCGATTCGGGCTAGGCACCAGCTAATAGATTTTTTAATTTCAAATTTCAAAATTCAGGCGGATTATTTAAAACTCGTATTGATTGAAAATATTTGAATGTTATTATTTTCCAATTAAATCGTTTGCAGGTGTCGGTCAACTTTTTCGATAGATTTGAAAATATGGTATAAGAAAATAATTTGGCCTATTTCTTTCTCGCTCACGAGAACCTCGATTGGTTGCCTTTGATTCAAACGAAATCCTCCGCTCTTGCTCGTTTCCTTCCTCGGCAGCGAACGAGATTCTTTGCTCCCGCTCGTTTCCTTCCTCGGCAGCAAACGAAATCCCCGCTAGTTCCTGCTCATTTCCCTCGCTCGACAAGACTTCCTTCCAGCGATCCTTCTGCGCCGAAGAAACCCGTTCCTTGCCCGATCCCGTCTCCCGCACCGAAGCTGCGTATCACGTCTCCTTCCTCGGCAACGAACGAGATCCTCTCCTCCCGCCCGGCTCGCCTTTGCTGTTCGACACCAAAAACTCTCATTCGCCTGCTTCACCTCCTCTTCTATCGGGGGATTGCTCGGCCGAACGAACGAGATCCTCTCCTCCCGCCCGACTCGCCTCTGCTGTTCGACACCAAAAACTCTCATTCGCCTGCTTAACCTCCTCTTCTCTCGGGGGATTGCTCGGCCGACCCTCTTTCACTCGCCTGTCTCATCCGAATCGGAGGTAGCCGGGGAACACGATTTCCTCGAGCCGTCGAAACGCTTAGAGCACAGAACCTCAGCAATTGCAATAATCGAGTAATCAAATCTTGTTTTATTCCCATGTTTGCTCATTTTATTTATACAATACAATTCATATAGGAAGATTTGTGTACATGCCCACTCAATTCATGTGCGTTTACATGTCTAACACCTGAAACTTTCACACAAAATTTGTTGCAATAGGATAATAAATTTATCTATCTTTTACAGTTAAAATACTCCTTTTTCTATATAAATAAAAAAAAGGTAATGAAATAAGTATGTCAAAATTAAAGTTTGAATATTAGATATGTAAATGTATATAAGTTTTTGTGTGCTATGTATATAAATCTACCATTACCCTTCAATAACTGCGTACAGGATTTAACTATCCTCTCTGTGTAGCTTTGATGCACTTTCGATGAAAAGAATGATGAATCTGTTTAGTCAAAGCTAAAGTTCTATCTACATTTAAATAGCTAAACAGAGTTAGTATTTAAATGTAGATAGAATTTCGTTTAGCTTCGATAGTGTGAAGTTTTACATTCAAATACATTTAACTTTAAACCTGTATTTGAATACAAATTAATTTTGTTTAGATTCAAACCCTAGATACAAGTTAAATACCAAGTTAAATGTATTTAACCTTAACCTTGTATCAAAGCTAAATGTATTTGAATTTAAACCTGTATCAAAGCTAAGGTTCTGTTTAAATTAAATATAGATAGAATTCCATTTAGCTTTGACAGTGTGAAGTTTTATATTTAAATACATTTAGCTTTAAACATGTATTTAAGTACAACTTAAATTCTGTTTAAATCCAAACTCTGGATACAAGTTAAATACCAAGTTAAATGTTTTCAACCTTAACCTTGTATCAAAGCTAAATATATTTAAATTTAAACCTGCAGCAAAGCTAAGGTTCTGTTTATTTTTTTTTTTTATCAACCAATGTTGAGATCGACTTGACTCAATGACTGATTTAACACTTCTCTAGCTCATTTTTATGCTCTATATCTTTCTTTGGGGAACATTTATATACCTAGCACACTAACATTATGTATTTACATATCTCACACTTAAAATTTAATATTTACATGAAATGCACTTTGATATTTTAAACCTATGCATAAAAATAAAAAAGTGTGCTTCACTGTTTAAAAATTAAGTTGATAGTTTTTTATGTGATAAGGATGAATTGGTTCTTGTAAATTTATAAAGTTTTAAGTGTTGGAAATGTTAATACATACGAATTGTGGGGTATGCGCGCAAATCTTCATTTAACTTTTCTTGGTCAGTGAATCGATATTATTGTTATCTTGAAAAATGATCGAGATGTCATTCTAGCTTGTCGTTTTTACTGATCTTCGCCCTACACTTCCGCCGATTTGTTGGCTTAACATATGTCGTTTGGAGTTGTTTTACGTGTTGTATTAGAACCACTTTAGGTGCCGGTTTGGCGCTGATTAGGAGCTTAGGATGGTCGTCTGGTGCTGCTCAGATGTTTAGAATTGTTGTTTAAACCTGTAGGAAGCTTAGGATGGTTGTTTGGGTGCTGTAGTTGTTGCTTAGACCCATGAAGTTGATGTTCGAATTCATATAGAAG